GATGTGGATTGAATCCTCTGTGTGAATGCTTCGCGGTATATATTGAAGTCAACGCGAAGGTTATCTTGTTCTTCAATCGTCGTTAATCTTGTTTCATTATCCTAGCAATGGCAGGCGCTGCGGAATCTGCTTACGGGTGCACTCTGGAGGAGCTCCACATCTTGATGGACTACCGAGGAGTAGAGGCCCATGAGAAGATTGTCTCCGACTATGGTGATATGACAGAATTTTGTCGGAGGCTGAACACATCTCCGGCCGAAGGTCAGTTGTTGGTTTGTTTTTTGTCATCGAGATGCAGATTTTTAATTCAGGACTAAGCGATCCACAGGATATCGAGAGGCGCAAAGCGGTGTTCGGCAGCAACGTCATTCCGCCACAGAAACCAAAGTCGTTCTTTAGACTGGTATGGGAAGCGTTGCAAGACATCACGCTCATCATCCTAGTTGGAGCAGCGTTGGTCTCGCTCGGCCTCAGCTTCTACACTCCCCCCACCGAAGACTCCGAAGTTGGTGAGTTTTTCACGCGCCTCCAAAGTTTTGCAGAGATATTATCTTGTCACTTAAGTGTAGCTAAAACTTGTGCAATTTTTGTTGTACCTGAATACCAATTTTTGCCATATCGTGATTAACCTCCAGCTGATTATCAGCTACAGGCCAGAAAGGATTTTCGACTTTAATATTGCAGCTAATAATCTAGGACTATGTGTAATCTAGCAACAGTTATGATGCGCTTAATTTAAATAAATGCTGTTTTGGAAATACTTTTTCATTTGCTGAATAAATCCTTCCAAATGTTATTCGCTACCTCGAGAATTTCATATTTTGTTATCCCCTGCAATTGCATCTGCCTTTCTAGCTGCTAAGTTGATCAATTACATGGCATTGCTGATATTAATTTACTAAGATGTCTCTTCTTAGGGTATGACGAGTCCGAACAACAAGCCGGCTATATCGAAGGCCTAGCGATATTTATATCGGTGATCGTGGTGGTGCTAGTGACGGCCGGCAATGACTACACGAAGGAGAGGCAGTTTCGTGGTCTTCAGTCAAAAATCGAACATGAGCACAAATTTTCTGTCATCCGTAATGGCGAGCAGGTGCAGATCCCTGTCGGCGATATCGTCGTCGGAGACATTTGTATGGTGAAGTACGGCGACCTGCTGCCGGCCGATGGTATCATCATCCAGAGCAACGACTTGAAGGTCGACGAATCGTCTCTCACCGGCGAATCAGACCATATTCGCAAAAGCGTCGAAACAGACCCTGTTTTGCTGTCAGGTAAACTGTATGGAAATTTTCGCTATATCTGCGAAATAGCGAAGTATAGAGTGAAACAAGGTTTCAGCTATCATTTTTCAGCTAAATTTTAAATTGTGTCAGATTCGGGTAGATTCTTGTGCCGATCGTTTGTTGCGTGTAGAAGTGAGGGTGCCAAAATGGTGTTCTTAGTCTACTTACGACCTCTTATTGGTACAAAAGCAGTTGTTTCTGCTTCAGTCAGTCACTGCTTCGGGCCAAATGCGTCACAGTTGAATTTTCAGTGACCAAACTATGGAAAAGCGATTTGGTTCCAGTAGTGCCATGAACCAGCATGTTTTTGTGACCCTCTTTGTCGATTCAAGGCATAGATGAACAGAAAAGAGAACAGAATTCGACTTCCCGCTGTATGTGTAAAAACTGCCAATAATTTTTAGATTCAGAGTTGCTGCATGAATGCCTATACGATTTGACTAGCAGGGGCACACTATTATGATTAATTGCTTCATGTTCAGGTTACTGTATTTACCTTCTCAAGAGTATGTAGTCAGAAGTTGCTTTATGCGTACTAGAAGGATTGACCTCTACAAAGTCGGGGACGGTCAGATACGAATCGTATCAACTGTCAAATTCATTATATTCCTTAGCGCATCAGTCAGTCAGTTTCGATGACCGTTTTCTCGTTTCTACATCTCATACGCGGATACAGTTATCGTCCTCTCGGCGCCTAACTATTCTACCAATCTACAGCACAAACATCAAAGGGGTAAGAACGTAGCCTTGACTCGGACCAGTGCCAACGCTGAAAGATTTCGATTTGATTCCATTTACTCTGACGCAGCACCTGCTGTCAGCGTATAGTGTTTGAATGACTCATCGCAACTGACCATCGATCACAGTCGTTTATAGGCACTCCCACAGACCTGATAATTCGAAGACTCTTCCCATCTGGATTTGGATGCGATCACTGCAGTTTTCTAGTCCACTGGTGTTTTTCTCCGTATTTGTTGCAGTTTGCCAGATACTTGTTTGCTACAGCATGCTTTGCTCGCCTAAAGCTTAATCATCTCAGGGCGGATTTCACTGATTCCAGCAACTTTTCCGCCTTTCAAGCATTTTACAGCCTATTAAAAGAAGTTCCTTTATTCTTTTGAGGCGATTCTACCTTCGGTTGTTCTTAAGTAACGAGTTTCTCAAAGTACTATCTCCATCGGCGAAGTATATGCTCTTCCTTTTATGACGGCGTTCGGAGTTGTCCTTCAGAACTCTTAGATTGCCTTCTGTTAATTCGATTTCAGCACGGGAACTTTTTCGAAAAATTGGTTTTCGATTTTGCCAGTGCTTTCGCTGTGGCCTTTCGCGTTTCCTTTTACTGCGTTCGTGTTGAAAGCTGTTCGTTCACAGCCCGTTGAACCTCCGGTGTCTGATCGGAAGATAGGATGATTTTTGACCCCTAGGTGGCGTTCCAACCTGTTTTAAACCATAGCATTTGGTGGCATCCTTGTGTAAACCGTTGTCAAGGGGTTTTTTCTCTGTTTCTACATCATGCGTCATCACTACCTGTTACTAAGGTAATTTAGTAGAGAAGAGGGCAACATGGATTCTATTTCGCCAAAGCGTCTGAAACGGACCCTATGTTTCGAAATATGCTTCTGCCGATTTCTGTTTTTATGAGATTCTTATGGTATAGCAATAGTTTATTATTTCACTTATAATAAAACAGGTTATTAATATAATAATATTCGGTATTCGCCCGTTGTGCAGTGATTGCAAAGCCGAGCCACAAAAGTATCATGTTTCACGACTGTCGACAACTTTTCACAACATTGCAGATATATGCCTGTTTACTTGCTAACAGTTATGACTGTTTCATTGTTGTTGCAGAGCTCACGTTTTCTAGTATTCTGTTTTATTAATAGGTACTCACGTAATGGAAGGCAGTGGGAAAATGATCGCAACCGCTGTGGGAATTAATTCGCAGTCTGGTATTATAATGG